GTAATACAACCTCAGGTCACACAAAAATGGGAAGCATTTTTACCAGGTGCACGCCTGTAATCCCAGCACTCGGAAGACAGAGGCAGGTGGATCTTGGTGCTTCCAGGCCAGCACAGAGTGCTGTTACACAGAGAACCCCCATTTTGTCCCTTTCCTACTAAAAAAATGTCTTTTTTTTTATAGGTCCAAACTAAAGATGGAAGACATAAAGGAAGTAAATAAGGCGCTGAAGGTATTAAAGTCACTTTTATTAGCAAAAATCACTTAGAGCTGATGGTGGTAGGCACACCTGTAAACCCAGCACTCCAGAGGCAAAGGCCCTTAAATCTCTGAATTCAAGGCTAGCCTAGTCTACATAGCAAGCTCAAGGCCAGCCATGGATCTTAGTGAGACTGAAGGAAAAGAAAGACTGCTCACGTGCCCCACAGGGATGACAGCATAGTGCCACAGGCATGTCCAGGATGGCATTGCTGCAGGTGGACAGGTATGAGCTGGAAGCTAACTTTCCCAGTGTCAGTTTCCCTAAGCCCAAGTCCGTGGTAGGCACTATGCCCATTGGCTGGCTCTGACCTGCTGTGTGCTTGAGAAGCTAGCACACACACACACAAACACACAGGTGCCAGGTAGAGCAGCCTGCCTCACCCAGTTACCACATGAGAGCAGGACAGACAGGGGCTCCTTCATGGTGAGAGACCAAGCTGCGCAGCCACCTCCAGTCCATCAGGTGGATGGATCCCTGGCTGCTCCTGCTCTTTAAATGAAGGTCCTTGACTATAATTGCGAGCTGCAGGTCCCTGTCTAGCCATGCAGTATTTGTATGATGGTGGCAGCAGACAGCTCCAGAGGGACTTTCTAGAGTAAGGGTGCCTTAGGTAGCCCCAGCAGCCTGCGTCTCTGGCACAGTAAAGGCTGTGTCAAGGGGCCCTTGACCCCTCTGATCACGTACAGAATTCCTAAGGGATAATACATCTCAGATCAGTTTTTCCTGGTAAAAACTTGCAAAGCATCCTCTTCTAGAGCCTCCAGTTTCTCTTATATAATGTAGCTAAGCTGCTTGCCAGAGCCATTGAGGATGTGGGGCTGGGTGTGCAGAAGAGCTTCCCTGAAGCTAAAGGCATTCCTCCCCTACACATTGTCTCTCTGCAGAAGTCCATGTCATTGTTTGAACCTTTCCTTCTGCCAGTGTAGCTAGTCATGGGATCACATCTCAGGCCAGGCCTGGGGTTGCAGGCACCAGTTTGACTGTGGTGACCTCAGCTATAGGAGACCTCTTAAAAGGGCAGGGGAGTATCTTGAGTGAATCAGCCTTGATCAAGGCCAGGATGCTGAGAGCAGGCACTTTGTACTGATATGTGAATGCCACCTACAGTCAGCATGAGAGAAAGGGCTCCATTAATGCTGGGCGATGGTGGCGCACGCCTTTAATCCCAGCACTCGGGAGGCAGAGGCAGGCGGATCTCTGTGAGTTCGAGGCCAGCCTGGTCTACAGAGCTAGTGCCAGGACAGGCTCCAAAGCCACAGAGAAACCCTGTCTCGAAAAAAAAAAAAAAGAAAGAAAGAAAGAAAGAAAGAAAGAAAGAAAGAAAGAAAGAAAGAAAGAAAGGGCTCCATTAGTCCTCCTCCATCTGGGGAAGCTGCAAGGCCTCCCAAGGAGGGACAGTCACAAGACAGCAGATGCAGCCAAACAGGAACTGACATGAGGTGAATCTCTCAGGTGTTTCTCTTCCTCAGGGCCACACATGGTTGAAGGATGATGAAGCAACACACTGTAAGCAGTGTGAGAAGGAGTTCTCCATTTCCCGGAGAAAGGTATGCAAGGGCCACTCCCACCCCAGAGTCTCCTCTCTGGATCCCAGGAAAAGCCTGTCTTTACTACAACTATGCCTGCTGGTCAACTGGAGGGTCTTGTCCCATTGCCTTTTAATGACAGACATGCTTGGGGCAGCATGGCCTCTGTGTCGAGCTGCTGCAGATATACTGCTGGCAGGCCTCTGTGTGCAGCAGGGCTAACTTGGGCAAACCACACACGGGAACCTGTAAGGCATCAGGCCAACAGACTCTCACTGGATGAACTGGGCCTGTGTCTACCCGCATAGCCTGTTGCCAGGCTCTGGGAACAGAAAGTCTTGGATGATTCTTTTTGGTCCATGGTAGCAAGACCCCGCCTCATCAAAGAGCAATTGGACAGAGGATGGCTGGCCTTGGAAGTATATAATGCTGGGAGCTTAAAGCACACAGGAAGGGTCTACCCCACCAGCCTATCCACAGCTATGGGCTCACCACCTCTCCTGTTCCCATCAGTAGTTTTCATCTGCGCAAGAGAAAACCAAAGTGCCAAACTTGGATAAGTTCAGAATTGGAAATGACCCTTCCATATGTCAAGACCTGCCAAAGGCAGCACAGTCTGGCCATACCCACATGAACATTTTTGGGCAGTCTAGCCTAATTGTCTGTAGAGCCAGGACAGAGGCTCTCCAGGCTAAGCTTGGCATCCATCACATGCCCAAAGAACCCAACACAGCCAGGTGTGGTGATATCTTTAATCCCAGCATTCAGGAAGCAGAGAGAAGCAAGTTTCATGGCAGCCAAGGGAACACATAGTGAAGCTCTATCTCCCTACCCAAAAAAACTCAACCCCAATAAGTCCTAGATTCTTGGCCTATTTATAAACAACCATCTGCCACCAATCAGGAGAGGCTACCTAAAAGCATGTTGGGTCTAAGACATGGCCATTATAGAAGCCAGGCTTTGCAAAGCAAGGTAGGTGTAGGGGTTGCATCCCCCAGTTGTCTTGACTGCCTTTTTCCTGTCTTCTAGCACCACTGCCGAAACTGTGGCCACATTTTCTGCAACACGTGTTCCAGCAACGAGCTGGCCCTGCCCTCCTACCCTAAGCCAGTGCGTGTGTGTGACAGCTGTCACACCCTGCTACTGCAGCGCTGCTCCTCCACGGCCTCCTGAGGCCATCAGGCCACCAGTAGGGACCTTAGCCTGTTGACCTCCATCTTCAGCGTGGAGGAAAGCCTCAGGTACAGTGCCAAACTCTGGGTCTCCAGAGACCTGCAAGGGCCCAAGAGAATCAAAGGCTGTCAGCCTGTGAAGACAGCGCCAAGTGGCAGCTGACCATTTTTCCGTGGTTTGTATAGAGCCAGCTCCTCTTGACTGACATGTCTGTGTCCTCGGTTATATCCTGGCTTTGGTACAGGTGTAACTTCATGATTTGCTACTGCCACTTTCACTTTTCAAAGGATTAACCTATTTTGCAGCAGTTGCACTAGTACAGAATCCTTTCTCTTCCTGCCCATATCCCACAAGAAACCTTGATTTCTGCAGAGCTTTGAACCTCCTGGGTCTGTTCAGTGTGCCTTGTCTGCTTCATCCAGCATTTACTATCATGCCCCTGTCAACAACTACCGTTAGCCCTGCAATAAAATCCTTTATTTTTCACTCTTGTACAAAGTGCTGGCTTCCAGCTTGCATATGGAGGAGGGCCTGCTGCGTTTGAGCTCTCCAGCTGGTGTGTTGCTTGTACTTAGGCTGCTCCACCCAGATGGACCAAGGCCAGGGTAAAGCCTTGTCACCAAAGTCCAAGTACATATTTACACAGATGCCTGACTTGCAGTGGGGTTACATCCTCATTGCAGTCAAGTAGAAATGAGCCAAGAATGACCACTGTTCACCTCACGTAGCCTGCCTTCAAAGTATTCGGGACACTAGCAAATAAACAGACTCAGCTAACATAGCTGCTTTTTGTTTTGAGAAAAGGTCTTTTGTTTTGAGAAAGGCCTGGTCTGGTCTCAAATTCAAATGCAACCAACTGATCCTCTTGCCTCCACCTCTTATGTACTGGAATTATAAGCATGTGCTACCATGTCCAGCAAAACAAAGCCTATTTTTTAGATGTTGGCTTATCTCAATAATTTACTTAAAGCCTGCTATACAGGTACTTCTACACCATGGCAAAGCTGAGCCATACATTAAAACCATCTAGCTACATGGGACTTGAAGTGCTAGCACAGATGTCTGTGGCTATGCAGATTTGTACCATCTTCCCTAGGGTCCCACCCAAGTGCAAGTTCACGTACCTATCCCATCATGCAGGCCAATGTCCTTAGATTTCTGTCCATGCAGGAGTGGGACAGAGACAGACAAGTGCCAAGGTACAAGGCCAGATGGCAGCTTACTAGAATGAATTCTCTCCACCATGTGTCTTCCAGGGATAAACTCAGATGATTAGTCTTGGCAGCAAACATCTTTATGAGCCATTTTGCTGGCCTGAGACTCTGAAATAAGTATTGGAGCATCAGACAAGGCAGCCAGTCAGTCCACCTGTCTTCCAGCCCTTCCCTTGTACTTTTCCATCCTTCTAGACCCAATACCTTCACTTCTCACCAATTTCCAGATCTGGTTGTTTACTGTCCAGACTCTGCCCCAACCCAATCCAAGCCTGTCTCTTCCTCCCTCTTCAGTCAGTACTGGTTCTGGTGCTTTAAGCAAGATTCCCTATGTTGTTTCTCATCTGCCTCACTCCAATCCCCTTTTGTCCCAATCCTACAGCAAGGACTGTGCAGCCAAGATTTAAAACCAGACCTGAGCAGCTCCAAAGCTATGGTCTAAACTGCAGGCACAGTGAAAAGGGCCAAAGGAGTCTGCTCCTCCTCCACCTGAGCCCCTTTTGCTAACCTCAGGACCCTATTTTCCCACCAAGTTCACATACCACTGTACTGCCCCAGACTGTTCTAGTTAAGTCTGTACCTTTTCAGTGTGCTCAACTTAGGTTCCAGCTTTTGGGGGGACACTAAGTCACTTTACTTCTGAGTATCACATTTCTCATCTGCACACAAAAGAGCAGGGTAACAACACCTCCCATTTCTATGCTGCTGCTCAGAAAAAGCACACATCAGGTTCCAGCTGGCATATACATGTTCAGGTTTCCATTCCATGTCCTCCCAACTTCAACTCTACCACCAAGTTATCATGTTTTGACACCAAATTCAACCCCCATCTCCAAGTTGTTGGGGTTTTGGTTTGGTTACTTTTCAAGATAGGGTTTCTCCCAGGGTGGTGGTGGCACATGCCTTAATCCCAGCACTAGGGAGGCAGAACAGGAGGATCTAAATTGAGTCCAGCTTGACTCTATTATAGAGAGCAAGTTCTAGGACAATCAGGAGAGACCAGTTTCTTCTATGTAGCCCTGGCTCTCCTGGCTGGCCTCAAACTCAGATCCACTTGCCTTTACCTCCCAAGAGCTGGGATTAAAGGTGTTGGGCTCCACCACTGCCCATGTTATTAATTCTACTTCCAAGTGGACAGGGTATGTGACACAAACCTTGGCAGAATTCCAAAAGTATCTGAGGGCTAAGGGTATACAGCTCAGTGGTAGAACCTTCAGTCAATAGTATAGGTCCTGGGTGGAAAGGGATACAGCAGTACACAATAGATGGTAGCACTCAGAACTAGCCTGAGGTGCATATGGAGACATTGAGAAAAACTCCAACCTGTAACAAAACATGTATGGACATCCTAGAGGACATGAAAGTGGCCTTGTGAGCGACCTTTGCTCTAGTACTTGTTTCTGCCATTGAGTGCTGACACTGTGAGCAACCTCTTATACAGTGAGTATAGGCTGTTCAGACAAGATCCAGTGCAGTCAGGCCAAAACAACCCTTCCACAAGGGCCCAACAGCTTGTCTGAAGACATCTAAAGCAGCCTCGGCTACCCAGACTTTACATAATAGACAGGGACACCCCATGCAGGAATAAAGCACCAAGATAGATCACGTGACACTGAAGCAGACAAGTATAGCTTTTAAAAGGAAGATTTATTTGACAAGGTTCACTTAGCGCAATACACCTAAAAGAAAATCACAACACAATGAAAGACTTAAATCAAGGCCTCAGAATTTCATACAAACACCAAGACCAAAAAAATCCTAAAGTAATGGTATTGCGTCTCAAAGTTTCTCCATTAACTAAAAAAAAAAAAAGAAAAAGAAAAGAAACGACTCACGTGCCTTACAGGTTATCAAATGAAATTGGAACAAACATGCCAAATATTTCACTTTTAATTGTAGACGCAGCTCCTATATTGAGTTTTACAAAAAAAAAGCATGTCTTTTCAACATGCATCAACAGTGTTCAATGTAATGTATGTATAAGAGCAACATTTAACATAATTCAACTGCTTTAACCTAAATACGCTTACTACTTACATACATCCTACAGTAACTAGAGAAAAGCTGGGAATTGTTTAACAGTTACAGTTCACTCAACTTCACTGTATCATCCTAGGTGACTATGTTTAATATTGGACCTTAGTCCTTTGAGTGATGCCAATGTTCACTTAAAAAGTAGGCATAAATCAAAAGGATGGATTGCAACTGTTAAACTGAAGGGTTTGTTTTCCTTTATATATATATATAAAAAAAAAAGACCAAGAGTCAGTGATTGAAATCTATTACATTCCCCATCCACCACTCATAATAGACATGCTAGACATTTCTCCCTTTCCATTCACGCCCAAAAATGCACGGCTTCCGCTACTGTAGTAGCTGCTGTTCACTGCTCCTTGGCTACCTNATCACAAGGATGGATTGCAACTGTTAAACTGAAGGGTTTGTTTTCCTTTAAAAAAAAAAAAAAAAAAGACCAAAAGTCAGTGATTAAAATCTATTACATTCCCCATCCACCACTCATACTGGACATGCTAGACATCCCTCCCAGTCCATTCACGCCCAAAGATGCACGGCTTCCGCTACTGTAGTAGCTGCTGTTCACTGCTCCTTGGCTACCTGCAAAGAGATCCATTTTACAAGTTAGGAATGATGTCTAATAATTATTCAAATAAAATAACGTTACAAAAAGTTTAAAAAGGTAAAAGTGCAAATGGCTGCTGTTCAATTGGCGAGAAGCATGTTGGGAAAAGGGAATCCAGACTCCAAACAAACCTCAATTAAACCCTTTTCTCTGCAGTACCAACTTGCCAGACTCTTGTGCTACCATTTTAAGTGGATTCTTCAGGATCAACGTGGAAATTTTAAGTTTAAAGGAAAACTAGTGTTTTTCAAAAATTGCAAAATTACTTCAAGTTTTTAAAACTAAAAAACAAAGCATTTAAAAAATTTACCATAAACATGTACTATGTGTCTGTCGAATGGTGTGTATGAATAGGGAGTAAGTACAGGGGAAGTCTTTTGCTTTGCCTATTCATGGTGGGCAAGAAGTGAGAGGACAAAAGTTGGACTAACGGCAACTCCCTGTGCCCAAAATGGCAGCCTCCATGGAGTTAAGTCAGAGTCACTGACTGCTATAGAAAGTGTTATCACAACATTATCAGTATTTGCTATTGGGAATTTAAATTATATTTTTTGAGAAAATATTTACCTATGCAATGTTTGATTGAAAATCACTGGAGTTTTCCTGTAAAACTTGGTCTGCAAAAGGATTTTGTAGGGTAAGACTATCATACCAAAATCACCATTCTTTAGACCAATTGAATAAAAAAATAAATAAAACCATCCCTAGGTTAACTGACTAGTAAAATACTGTCCTGAACCCAACCACCAGTCTTAATATTTAAAAATTACCCTCCATCAAAAACTTAATGCCATAACAGAAAAGCAAACTAATGTTTTAGTAAATGAACACAGATATTTTCTGGCTTGACAGTGTTCCAAAATTGCAATGACTAGAATACATCCCCTCTCTTCTCCCAATGACTGTTTCTGCACATTATACTATTAAGAATTATAATAAAAACCGTACATTTAATACCCCACAATACCCCACACTCTTAAAAAGGAGCCTGTATATTCCCAACTAAAGAAACCAACCTAAAACTTACTCTAGGTATATTAAAAAAAAAACTTACCATATCCACTCATGCTGCTCTGGCCACCATAGCCACCTCCATAACCACCACTCAGCTGCTGGCTGGCTGGGCCACCGTAACTGGACTGGTTTGCTGTTAAGTTAAGAGAACATTAGAGCTTTGCTTCTTATCCAGTGTGGTACCTGGTGGTACCGGGCTTGTAATTCTATTTCTACAATTTTCCAGTCTTGATCTTATATTACTGTCTCCTCCTGCCTACTATCTATAACAAGTCTGACTCTCTGTGACCAGATTAATCTTTATATTCTTCATTTGACCTAGGGTAAACGTTTATAAACCAAAAGGTTGAGGAATACACATGATTCATTAAGTAGAGGCATTTTTTTTAACAATCTTATAAAACTTTAGTGAGGTTTCCCCCTTAGCTTGATATATATATTTAGATATGTCCTTATACAGGTTATCAGTTAATTATGCCTAGTTAATTATGCCCAACTAATTATTTTCCCAATTAACATTGTTAATCCTGTATTTTTGCTAAGTATTTTAGACGTACACTTTATAAACAGATACTGTGTATCTGTATAAACAGATACATTCAATAGTCCCCTCCCCCAAAAGTATCTACTTTGAGTAACCTACCCTAAGCAGCTTTGTTATTACAAGATTTTAGCAATTTAATAATTACAAAACTTGCTTAAATTAAGAATCTTTGTCTAAATTTGTCTGCTAACTTAAATTATTATGCTAACAAACTCTGATATTAATTATGTTAACTTATCTTATAAATCTACTTATACAAATACAAATGTTTTGGTTTTTAAAAAAACTAACGATATTTACACAAGCCCATGCCTCCCATCATTTGGCTACCATAAGCACCACCGCTTGCTCCTGCTGTAGAATTCAAGAAGAGTTCTACATATCTGTGTTCTGAAATGAGAGAAAAGGCATACAAGGTTAGCTTAAAAAAAGACACTAAAGTGATATTTACACAAACCCATGCCTCCTAGCATTTGGCTACCGTAAGCACCACCGCTTGCTCCTGCTGTAGAATTCAAGAAGAGTTCAACATATCTGTGTTCTGAAATGAGAAGAAAAGTTTGAAAATGTTTGTTGGTAAAAGAAAACAAGATAAGCAATTTAAAAGTAACTTGTGAATCACAAATGTTTTAATAAAAAGAAAACTAGCTTTTAAAACACTCACCACCTAAGCTACCAATTAAGGACAAACTTAAGGTTATGTCCAATCACCTATCCCAAAATAGCAGTATAAAAAAAAACTAAGGGGCTGGAGATGGCTCTCAGTTCCTCCAGTGGACCTGGGTTCAATTTCCAGCACCCACGTGGCAGCTCACAATTGTCTGTAACTCCAGTTCCAGGGAATATGATACCTTCATATCAATGCACATAAAATAGTGAATTTAAAAAAAAAAAAAAAAAAAACCTAGGCGGGGGCTGGAGAGATGGCTCAGAGGTTAAGAGCACTGACTGTTCTTCCTCCCAAAGGACCTAAGTTCAATTCCCAGCAACCACTGGCTCACAACCATCTATGATATCTGGTGCCCTCTCTGTCATGCAGGCAGAACACTGTACATAATAAAATATAAAAAAACTAAGCTTTTAATAAACCCAAGCTATATATACCCTTACTATTCTACTCCTCTACTCTAAATAAATGTCTGTCACTTAACTGCCTGAAGTTACAAAGTGCTTTAATTACACTTACGCATATTTGCTTTATCTTTTGACATAGCTGCAACTGCATCTTCATGGGTTGCAAACTCGACATCTGCTTCACCAGTTACTCTGCCATCAGGTCCAATCTCAATATGTACTCTCACAGGGTTGAGCGGTGAAAAAAACTAAAATACAAGTTTTTTTTTTTTTAAAGTTAACTTTAAAAAAAAATCACCCCACATTTTTACTGCTGTACTGAATTACTTGAAGTGACTTTATCTCAATACTTACATTATAAATGTCATTCTCAGTAGCTCTGTATGGTAATCCCCGCATGTGAACACAGTGTCCTGTTGTACTTTGGAAAGTAGAGCCACCATCCCCATATCTGTGGTCAGACATTCCTGAAAAACAATAATTGAGGTCTAGATGGACAAGTGTGTAAGTACCCTTGAACTGAGAAATTCAATTCTTACCCTACCTCTTCCAAATCTATCCGAACCAAATCCATAGCCATCATTATAGCCATTATAATCATCATAGCCTCCATAGCCTGAAAGATAAGAAGAAATACAATTAGTCACCAAAAATCACCTAGACAAAAGAAACTAGTTCAACCTTGCATATAACAGCACATACATACCTCCACCATAAGCACCACGCCTCATCCTTTCAAAACCAGCTCCTCTGCCAATGCTGTTATACCCTCTGCCAGCCCCAGGTCTGTCATAGGGACCTGGCCGCTGCATGGCCATAAGTTTTCGTGGTGGATCATAATGAGTTCTAACTTCAGCTCGACTGCTCTTAAATATTTCAATATACCTAAAGCATTGTCCAAAAGGAAGGGGAATGGGGAGGGGAGAGAAAACATTAGTTCATGTCATACAACAGTTGCTTAGTTATACAAGAAAAACAATTTAGTCATAGCCATGAAACTGACTAATATTTAAAGCCAGCTTTCTTACATTTGCATAGGCAATGACCAGAAATTTACTCAAAAGACTATTTAAACTTTATAGAAAAAAAAAAAAGAAAAAAACTCCTCTGAGGCAGAGCCCAACCTTAGAGGCAGAGAGGAGTATTACAAATAAATGGTTTAGGAGGGAAGAATTCCACTCAACTCTCAATATTCCAACTCTTAAATTCTTTGGCAGCATGTATAGCAAGTGGGCTAAAAAGCCAGCCTCCACCAACAGTCTAGCCCACACTACACACTTCTTTTCGCCAATATCCAGCCTATGCTTTTAGTAGGAATCAGCATAGGTAAAAAGCGCATGCTTCAATGAAAAATAGTCACAAGCAAAGAGAATAAAACCTTTTGTGACAATTTCTTGAAAGCTATGCTTATTAATACATATGCAGAATATTTATACAGCAAGAAAGTTTGTTGCATTTCAACTTTAAAAACAAGATCAGAAAGTATCACATTTTCTTATGGTAATATTAATTTCCTATGTGGGTGTTATTACAGCTAAAGACAGGTTTGCATTAATTTTTTAAAGCCATAGTCTCTCGACTCTATTGACTGGGGTTAATAAACTAAGAATCCTACAAAATTGTAAAGACAGCCCAAATAAACTAGAGATAATTTTAAAACCTAAAATTTGGTTTGAATAAAATACATCAACTAGAAAGAATTTAAAAGTTGTATCAGGTAACCAATTAACTGGGAATAGGAAATGGATTATTTCCTCCTTCTAAGCAGAGAGAATATGGATTTAATTGTTTACCATAAGAAAAGTGACATATCCAACCAACCATCCATCCCCACCTGTGCCCTATTCTTTCCTTGTGTTTCTTTAGAGCCTTTTCAGCTATTTCCTGTGAAGCAAACTGCACGAAGGCCTCCCCCGTACTCCTCCCCTGGAAGTCCACCGGCAATGTTATCCCATTTGGCAC